TTCCTTGTTGTTTTTTTCCTTTGAAGAGGTTTTGCTTCTCATCCAAGAAGCTTCTTCAGTTCTGGCAGGATGGTGGGGAAGCTGAAGAAGCTTCTTGGATGAGAAGCAAAACCTCTTCAAAGGAAAAAAACAACAAGGAAGTCCAGTTGCCTCTTGAAAAAGCACCTTTGGGACAACCATGACCTGGAGGACGGAGAATCTCCAGAGACATATTTTTAATAGGAATTTGACCAAAGAATCTATTATTTATGGTACTATATGTAGACATCCTGAGGCTGTGAATTTTATGCGAATCCATTTTCATGGTCTGGTTTTAGATATCAATCATCTTGGTGCCTATTAAATAGTTAGAACAATTAATCAGTGGGACAACTTGCCTCCAGAAGTTGTGAATACTCCAACACTGGAAGTTTTTAAGATGATGTTGGATATCCATTTATTTAAAGTGATGTAGGGCTTCCTGCCTAGGCAGGGGGTTGGACTAGAAGACCTCCAAGGTCCCTTCCAACTCTGTTATTCTCTTCTATTCTAAATGGGAAACATAGTTGGAATAGAAACTGACAATCCATCTCCTACCAGGTGTAGCTGAATTTAAATGTCTGCGCTACGCCTCAAGGCCCCTTTCAATTCATTCAAGTATTCTCTTTCGATGGATGGGTTGAATCTATATAGCTGCCCGTCTCGTTCAGACGTGCACCCACGAACTCATTCGTTCTCTTTCTGCAACGTAACGCCTCTGAATTCGCTCGGTGCCCAAAAGACCAGAATCTCGATGTACGGTAAAAGTTCACGTTGTTAGACGCCACAACTTTAGAGTTTCCTAAAGGTGAAGGCTGTTTCAAGCAGGCAGTGGTGTGTTTGCTTATGGGCTAATGAGTAAACCAGCTTGCTCAGGAACTAGCTGTTTTGAAATTAACCGTGTTTGCCTTGAGTAAGCACCCTCTTGACAAAGTGGTCAAAACAGCTTTCGAGAACGGAGCCAAAAAGTTCCCTTGTTCAAGACCGATGAAATCGTCAATGAAATCGAGGAGGCCTATCCAAGAACTTTACGTGACGCACTAGGGAAACTGTTCTTGAAAAATTGAGGGAAACGAATCAGAATTGGTTAAGGAAGCCATTCCAACCACATAGAGAAAGAGAGCCTGATAGACTTAGTATCAAGAAAATGCCTTTTGCAAGCATTATAGTTCTTTGTAATGGTAGGAATAGACAGAATAATAAGAGTTGGAAGAGACCTTGGAGGTCTTCTAGTCCCACCCCCTCCTTAGGCAGGAAACCCTATACCATTTCAGACAAATGGCTATCCAACATCTTCTTTTTAAAAAATCCAGTTTTGGAGCATTTACAACTTCTGGAAACAAGTTATTCCACTGATTTATTGTTCTAACTGTCAGAAAATTTCTCCCGAGTTTTATTTTATTTTTATTTATTTAGTGTATGGCAAATACATGGACTTATAGTAGGTCAAATGTTAACGTCCACCCAGCCATTCAAGGAGAGTGTGGTTATGTTGGGGGGAAAAAATCAGACATTGGGCCGGTGTAAGCTTTTGATGGACATTTGGACTTAGTTCTAGGTTGCTTCTCTCCTTGATTAGTTTCCACCCATTGCTTCTTGTCCTGCCCTCAGGTGCCTTGGAGAATAGTTTGACTCCCTCTTCTTTGTGGCAGCCCTTGAGATATTGGTGCATTTTTGGCTTCCAAGCTGGTGCAGGAGGCTTTTCAGGCACAAAGGTTCCTGTCACACACATGTGCTAGTTGTTCTCGACTCTAGGAGGCGGTGCTCATCCACATTTCAAAGTCGAAGAGCCAGCGCTGTCTGAAGACATCTTTGTGGTCATGTGGCCGGCATGACTTAACGCCGAAGTCACACGGAACACTGTTATCTTCCCACCAAAGATGGTTCCTATTTTTCTATTTGCATTTATACGTGCTTTCAAACTGCTAGGTGGGCAGAAGCTGGGACAAGTAACGGGAGCTCACTCCATTATGCGGCGCTAGGGATTCGAACCACCAAACTGCCGACCTTTCTGATTGACAAGCTCAGTGTCATAGCCACTGTTCCCATTTCCAGGCAGTGGTGGGATTCGAATAATTTAACAATTGTTTTTCTGCCTTAATGATGTCTTCCAACCACAAGTTCACCAAACTTCTCAGAAAGGTAACAACTGGTTCTCCCAAAGTGGCACGAATGGCTGAATCCCACCACTGCTTTCGGGCCCAAAATGAGGTGTGGGGCAGGAGACGTGGGCGTGTGACCCTCCAAAACGCTGGGCCGGGGCGACAGCTGCTGTCCCCGCAGAGAGGGCTCTGTGTTCGCCGTCACAGTCTTAGGATGATCAAACATTTCCAAATCATTATTATCTATGACCTTTCAAGGGGAAAAGATGAGAAACCTTCAGTTGACTCTCGTAGCTGTGTTATTGTTCTTTTTTTTTTTGAAAGAAAAAAGAGAGGAAAACCTATAAACTTCAATCAAATTAATCTGCGTCTGAGCTAGACAAGAGATGGTAAAACTCCAATCTTTCCTCGTGCGATTGAACAATTTCCGACAGCCCTCATTCACAAGCTAGCGAGGAGGAATTAATTTTATTTGACTCATTTAAAATATTTACAGCCCATCCATTCTCTGGAAAATCTTGTAAAATATAGAAGAAGGAATCTCGGGGTCATGCTGAAATAAGCTGAAAGGTTGAGTACAAAATCCATTCTCTGCTAATGAAGTAATGGGAGGCCACTTAATTTTGTGTGTGTGTGTGTGTGTGTGTGTGTGTGTGTGTGTGT